GTGGAAATTCCTTCAAAAAGGTTTGTATTCTTAAAAATGTGGCAATGGGCAACACTTACAACAACAAGACAGAGAATCGCTTATACAGTTCGGTACCTTGCTTCTCCAAAGATCTGATATTTGTAGGCAGGTATTATTCGCAGTCGAGGCACAGTTCACGAGAAATGGAATAATTAATTCTAGAAGTAGTTATTTATGGGCTCCTTCTAATACACATGCAAACTTGTGGAAGGGGATTCCAAGTAGAATTTTCCTTAAGTGGGTGGTGCGGAATTGTAGGAAATTAAATTGTAAGTCCTCACTTCTTTAACGTATTTGATGTACTTAAAACATTAATCACCTTCCCTTCTAGGTGATGTGCCTCTCTAACTGTTTTTCTCGATGTATTTTCAGCAGGATGGAGCCCTACCACATTTTAAAAGACATGTAAAGCTCCCCCCACAAGAACTGGCGAAATATTCTATCTTCCCAACCATCCCAACAAGCTTGGACTCCCTTCGACCCGAGGGAGGGGCGCTGGCCAATCGCTATAAGTCATGTAAGTAAGTAATCGCTAGCAGTCATGACCTTGGTGCCTCTGTAGTTGATGTGATGGCTTAACGCGCAGATGGCGAGAAAGACGGTGTTCCCCGGGGACGGGGTCTCGCTTGTTTACGTATTCGGCGGAAGTATCGCCATCTTTGCCTGCCGAAAGAGATAGTTTGCCTGCGAGAACGCTATGACGAAAACATATTTCTGGGCGGAAGTTTGCCTTCTATAATTACTGTCAATAGACTAGTAAGTATTTAGCTTTTTTGCAACAATTATACTATCTTTTACCAACCAATTTGGATCTCTGACAAACTGTTATATTAAAATGTTTATCTCAGGCACAAATTGCGGATCCCTTCCGGTCGTTCCGATTGTTGCAAAATTGTTAATTCGCAGTTTTCTGCTCGACAGACGGACGTTTTGAAATAAAAACAACACTCTCTTGATAACTAAAGACCCCAAAACGTGTATTATCTTTGAAAATTCGAAAACGATTTACAGCAACAATTCATGCATTCATACCTCTCTAAGTAATATGTATGTTACACCGTACGAGAAAGAAAAATAAATAAAGAAATAAACAGATTTTCTCACACCACAGAGCAGGTTATACACATAAATTGAATACAAATAACAGAAGCCGAATGCCTGCCCGACAGAATGCAGTTGTCATGTTTTAGCATATATAAAATATAAACATTAAAAATCCTATGTAACATGATCGATGACTAATGAAAGTGAATGCAGTATTCTGAGTGAAGGAATAAAGACAACGAAAAAGTCTCATAGAGGAAACCTCTAAATGTTTAGTTTTCATAGCGTCAAATTCAGCTAGCTATAATTGTTAATTAAACCCCAAAATATCCGAGCATTTATTTGAAATCAAATAAAAATCTACAATTTAATTGCCAATAATACTACCCTGATATGATTTTCTATAGACCATTGTAAAGAAATGTGAACTTCTTATAACGTATTAATCATTAAATTTTCATTTTAGTTTAAACGGTTGTGTCAATGAATGTTATTCACAGACACGGAGCACATTCGAAAGAACACAGTAACTTAACTAAATTGTGGATATTGATTTATGTTGTAGGGACAACGTTGTTGAAATGACGACTGATTCTTTCATATGCTCATAGATTTTCTGCGTTTCATTGAGATGACCTTGGTATTTACGTATTCCCAACATTTGTATGAACTCAACTGTGAAAAAGTATGAACTCAACCCATGATTTTGACTCGATAATCTATGGTCTCAAAGAAACGAGTAGGATTCAGAGGTTAGTGTCAAAACGCATTGGCATCTCAGAGTAGAATGGAAATAGAACGATCCTAGGAATTCTTTTGAATTGGGTATAATTGAATTTTAAAAACATATGTTTTAATTACAAACTTGCACCTTCATTGAAATTTAACTACATACGTAAGTTCCCATTATTCGACACTAGCTTGTCAGCTTGAGTCGCCATCTGGAGGATAATTCTAGCGGCCGACTGCACTGTTCGGTAGTTTTCCGTGGTTTCTCCGATCGACACCATGCGAATGCCGGAGCAGTACCCTACCAAACGGAGCTTAGAGATTGTCCCAGCATGGGCGGTGCCCCGCTGGTTGGGGAAAACCTCGCTAGACGACGGTAGGTCGGAGCCCGATCTCGCCGCACAGCGATCACCGCCACCTCCTGAGCGAAAACATGCCCTACACTTACGGGACTGATGATCCTGTTCGCTAACGCGCCGGGCATCACTAAAAGAATCAATCAATCATCAAAGTTCCAAAGTTCCCGTTACTTCAATTAGAAATTTCCATTAATAAACGTATGTCAATACTCTACTTTAACGGTATTATTACGTTTTCGCATACTCCATGCTGATGCTATTTGCTGCTAAAGGCAGCAGACCTACTTGTGGAAAGAAATTGTGAATGCTATAACAATGTTATAACAACATTTTTGGAACTGTGTGACTTCTGGGGAGCTGGAAGCCTTAATATTTATATTAATATGTATTGTCTATATTTACAATTTATGCAAAACCATTGTTTTATTTTATATTCAATTTGATTTATTTTCCCAATTTCATAAACAATTTTATACTTAAGGAATTGGTTTCCTAAGAAGGTAGATAAAGGCCGAGGGAGGGAGTGCTATGAAGCGTGTTTACAACAGTCCCAGTTAGGCAACAGAATTCCACATACTTTTTGGGATAGGTAAATATCCCAAAATACATTGCAAGTTAATACTTCAGAGTAACCATTAGCCTTCATTTCATCACTTCTTTGAATGGCAAAATTGGAGAAGTGACATGTTTCCATTGTGTTGACAATAGATTGAACATGATTATCGTAAAAGCTTGTGAAAATACCTTGTAAGGACGTGGTAATGTGTTCAAAGCAAAGGTTATAGTTGTACAGAAGAATATACCTTTGGCTTCTCTCGCTTTTCTGGGTCGACTGTCATTTCTGGGTTTCTGATATGGCGGCATCTTATCGAAACCAGTTCCTTTCAATAGCCATTGCACGATTCGTTTAAAATGCTGTTTTAATAATAATGTAGCACAATGTCACAAAATGAAACCTTTAAAGAATATGATGAAAATATACCATATGTAAGTCATAATGTTGCTGTAATTTCAGTAAATTTAAATTTTTGAAGTCTAAAAAAAGAGGCATTTGTTTTCAAAATTGTTATTGTGTACCTCTTCTCACGAAAATTATTTAATAAAATAATATTGGAAGACAAACTGCTAATTATTTTTGTCACTTTATGCAGTTTCAGAGTGTCTAAAACTTATTTGAAGAAGATAAGAAGAAAAAGAAGAAAAAGAAGAAAAAGAAGAAGAAGAAAAAGAAGAAGAAGAAAAAGAAGAAGAAAAAGAAGAAAAAGAAAAAGAAGAAAAAGAAGAAGAAAAGAGAAAAAGAGAATGAGATTCCCTGAGAATCCTTAGGTGAGCAAGGGCATCTCCTTATAAAGGATTGCTCGTTATATTCCCGCAACTTACCAATGTTTCTGGGTCCTACAATTATTTACACGAGGCTTAATGTACACTTCTGTCTAGTTCACTGTTACAGTGCACTGAACTCACTCTTGCGCAACCATAGTACTGATAATGGAATTAATCTGGAAACCTTTTCATCTGACGACACTGAACTACTTGATATTTGTCAATTTTCTCTCCCTAACACTTTCCGCTGTTATATCTGTTTCTTTTCACACACACTTCTGTCATTATCTCATAACATTACTGGTGTACTATTATTCTGATAAAGTTGCTACATTAACGGATTTTCTAACATTCGCGTCTGCGTCCTGTTCCTGTAATTTGAAAACTGTATCCTTGAAATTTCTTGTTCTTTTCTTAGCACTAGAACGGTTTTCTGTGTTCGGTTTCCCTTCCATTTTGTTTTCGTTGTTTGTTTTTTTTTCTTTTTTTCTTTTTTTTCTTTTTTTTTTTCATGATTTGTGGTATGATAGGGAAAGGATTCTAGATTTTTGACGGTTTTCTCATGTAGTCATAAATCGTTACTCATTTTCCATTTACTTCTAACTTCTGGCTAACTTATGTTTCCCTTAGGAAGCTCTTCCGTGGCTCTTTCCCTTATTGCTGCTTGTGTGAGCCTTTCCTTCCTTGTCATGTCATCTTCTGTGAAACAATCGTAGCCTTTCAATTTGTGTTTATTCTTCATTACTGTTGACTTATTTTCTATTGACCCCACTCCGATGAGCGCAATATCCTTCCCTTTGCCGTGTTTGCCTATGAATGTTGGATTGTCATGTTTAACTTCAATGCCTTAATATCGTTGACAGCGTGTTTATAAGGTCTGCTTTATTTTCTGCTAGTCTCTGCACTTAATAATTACATTATTTCTCTGCCTTTTCCTACATCTTCTTTCTTCAAAGTTTTCAATAACTTTTAGTATTCGATCAATTTCACTAATTTTCTGCTGAAAACTCTATTCTATAGGTGGCATTCCATAATTGCATCTTAACTATTGGATAGCTATTAAGAAGGAATAGAAAAATAAAAATAACTATTACAATTGAATCGTTTATTTCAGATACCCGTCAAACGCCATATTCTTCATTTCTACAAAACTGAAAAAAAGTCTCCCATTCTTATGATTTCAAAATATTTTTATTTATTTAAATAGTTGAAAAATGAATATTTTCACATAAATATGCACTAAACGATGTGTCTATCCTCTTGGAACAATAATCCGCTGCTAATGTGTGTTTTATATTTTGGCGTTCGACGGGTATCTGAAATAAACGATTCAATTGAGGTAAATTTGACGAAACGTTCAAAAACATATTGAAAGATATTCTCTAGTATTTGTGGCGTAATTCATGGCTGCATATTTCCTGGAAACAATTCGTTCAGCAACGTACAGTTGAAAGGCATTCTCATTCAAAACCTCCTTTACTCCGTCGCTGCGCCACGTGGAGGGCAGGCCGCGGCGAGCGTTACCTTGCATCGGCGAGGCGAGCTCCGCTCCGAAGGTCGCTTCAGGCCGAGGGCGCGGACGCACGCACCATCGCTCAGCGCACGCGTGCCCGGGGCGGGGCGCGGCCGCGGGCAGCGGCGGCACGCTGCGGCGCACCGGGCACCCGCGCAACTGAACGGGCGCGCGCCAGCGCCCTCCGCCCGCCGCCGCCGGCCTGGTATGGGGCAGGAAAGCAAGGCGGGGGTCAGGAGAGAAGGGCGGCGGCGAGCGAAAGGAAGGGGAAGAGCGAGCACCCACGTGCGGGTCGCTGCCTCGCAAACTGCGCTTCCGAAACTTTTCAAGGGTTGACGTGCCGATGGAGAGGATGACTGGCACTGTGGTGAAGTCGCCAAAGCTAAAACGCCCTCCTTCTCTAAATACATCTGATGGTGATCCAGAATGGCACAGACATTCTCGTACTATTTAGTTTCCTAATCTGGTTAATCTGGGCTAGCTTCTCCATTTTGTACCCACCTGCTAAAAGAACTTTTTTTCGCATTTGCTCCATTTCTTTTTCCCCTCATCAATCTCAAAATTGTGAAAATTATCACTTCTGAATTATATATAATTACACAAGTATAACACTAGTCATTATGAGAAAACAAGCTGTAAAATATATGCTTACAAGGACACAATATTCACGATCACAAATACACAATCATGTTCCAAAAAGAAAAATAATTCAACATTAAAGGCTTTAAATGTTTTCAGAGGCACACATATTTAAGAAAAGAAGAATGAACTTCTTTTAAGTAATTGAAGTTTCTAATGTATTGATTACTCCAAGTTAATTATCAAACCTTTTAACCAAAACGAATTTCAGATTTCATATATCAAAAAAATCCTGAAATGGACAATGTTAAAAGACATATAATATTCAACTGCTTTACATTTAAATCATACCGTTATCAATAATATGTACAAAGAAATTTAAACACATTGTAAAAGATATTTACCGTTATTTGCGATAGTCAGAAATTCTGTTGTACATCACGACCATCATTAGTAATACTAAAAATGTACTTGGAAAATTAAATTACGTAACGTAATTTCAATAGTTGCTATCGTTGGAGGGCCGCGCGGGCTCGCAGCCGAGGGCCAGGGTCGAGCGCAGCGCCGTTGGGAGCTCCGTTCGGGGGCTGCGGCAACTCCTCCCGAGCGAAGGGCCTCGTCGCAACGCTCGCACTCCCGGCAGAAAGGTGTACCCTCCTGCTCCGCGTCCGTGTTAACCCGTCCAGTCCCACTGTAGCCATCTGGTTACATCACTTTCTTGGTCTCAGTATACTGCTTGGATATATTTTTAACCAATAATCGAGATTTCTATTCGCTTCTGTCACTTATTGGAATCATTTAACAAATATATCAGGGATATACATTTGTTCTCTTTATTTCTGTAGTAATTTTCTCTTTGGTGTGCCTTCACAGGTTATTCACGACACTGCAGAGTCCTAATTCTTGTTGAATTTCTCAGCGATGGGAAAATTTTTAGGTAAATATATATGCAGTTTTGAAGAATAGGTTTTGTTTACAGTTCATATTATCACAATATATGTATTTAACTGAAAGCTTTGAAGATATTTGAATGAGAAACGAGTTGTTCCCATATGGCTACTACGGGCACACAAAGCATACATAACCTGCAAATGGAGGTTCATTACAATCTATCGTAATTTCGTAAACCCGCTGAAGCAAAAAGCCCTTAAAGGAATTTTACAGGCTCAATACATAAATCTGTTTTCCGGTCAAGATGATAAAGGTGTTATTACTAGAAAAATATTGTTGAATCTCGTACAGATGCCGAATGAAAATAATGAAATTCTCTAATGAACAATGACAAACTACATAATCGAAGGATGTTACACTTATTTCCAAAAAAGAAATAAAAGGAAAAGTACACCATATTTTAAATCAAAACAAATATAAATAAATTCAAAAGTTGAACATTTTTTACATCTACCTTCGACCTAGGGAAAGATAACGTAAAAATACAGAAATGGTATTATGTTTGAATGAAATAAATGGTGATAAAGTTTTCAAGTAGGTTTTGCTTCGGAAAAGATTAATTTTAGTGGGTCTTGCATTGTTTTTGTCTCCGATAAATATTTGCATTTGGAAGGTATTGAACATATTGCGTATAAAATGTTAGAAGCTGACAAAGTCTTGAAAACATTACTTCCCTCGAAAAGCAGAGTGAAATTATTGTCGCTGGGCCGCTGAAGGTCAGAGCTCAGAGCTGCCGGAGGAGTCCATTCCTCAAACTCATCGGTTCAGGGCGGAGCGCGTCCCTTCTCAGGACGAGTTGACAGCCCTACTCCAGTGGTGAAAACATTGATCTTGACTATTCGTCACCGCGAGGTGCAAGTTTCCAGTTGCGTTTTCCTACCCTAGTGAAGCGTTTTGTGTGAAGTTCTGTTGTGATCATAGCAATGCATCAGGTTCATAGCAAGTTGCATAAGAACGTTCTTCAAAGTCAGACGCTTAACGTACTTGCAGAAGGACATCAATTCATAAAGAGAGAAGTAAAAGAAGGTATTATAAATATCAAAGCAGTTGGTGCTTCGCGCGTTTCGAAAATATTTATTCGCAGAATTAATAAGGAAATAAATTCTATTGAATCGGGAGAATCGAGTTCATTTTCAACTCCGAATGAAGAGAGGATGAGGAATAACATGAAATCTGCTCTCGACGGTCAATGAGAGAGTGATTCGCCACACAATGATTCAATGCACCTTATCAAGCAATCGTTATTTTTTACGGCGCAAACGATAGAAATGACAGTGATAGTGATAGACAGGGGACGGGTAGCAGTGTCAGTGGGAAAGATGTAGATAATGAGAGCAGAGCCATTTGCTATGGCGTACAATTCAGAAAGGATAAACACAACTGAATTTTACATTTTTACTTTCTCGTCTTACGAATTCTTCGTAAGAAGAGAAAGCTACGTAATCATTCGCCAGAAATCGCTTAAATTTCGTCAGAAAAAACCTTATTTCCGAATTCTGGTAACGAAAAAGTGGATAAAGGAGCCAGAATGCATGTTTTGTTATCGATAGAAGGCAGCCGGCGAGAGCACGTGACAAGTCGAGACGTAGAAAACGAATACGGAAAAGTCTGTGTCATTCTGTAGCTCTACTAGTTGCAAGTTTGTACTTTTAAAATTGGTTTTTGTAATTTTCGAAAAAACTGTGCAATACTTGAAAATGGGACTAGCACCAAATTTTTACCGTCCCTTATTTTATATGTGGAGAAAATTTAAAGAAAAAATTTGGAGTGTTTCTTGAGAAGAAACTTTGTAAATTTCGGCGCAAATTACTCCAAAAACCACTAACTTTTACAAAAAATAATGCACCTGACCTTTTTTAAAAACCCAATTTTGTACAACAGACTTAGAGCAAAAAACCTGTATCTTCAATTTTGTAGTTTAAAATTTTTTTTCAATTTTCAAAAAATCGGCGAAGTTAGAAAAAGAGAAGATTTGAACCATGTTTTTACACATCTTTCGCACTATTGAACAACAAAATTGAATCAAAACTCTTTTGCCGTTTTTGAGAAAATTTTGAAAATGAGTTTGAGGTTTCTGTTTTCCCTCAAAATTTTACCTTTCTCCTCCCTCGCAGTTTCTCCACCCCACTAAGGAACGTGGGACGATTCCTCCGACCCTTTACTGCGTTTTCTTAGTTTCTGTTATTACTGCTATGTTTATAGTATATATTCCAATTCCTTATTTCCTATTCCTTTTACATTCCAGGTGGCTTCTTTCAAATAATCCATTATCCAATTAGGTTTTTTAATTTTCTTTGCCATAGTCGACGTATTTCCATTGCCAAGGCCCTTTCTGTGGTCACTGAAAGTAATTGTGAATTTTTTATGGTGAATAGTTTACTATATCTCTCTGCTTCAACCCCCAATCTAGAGGACCGAGATGACTTACTCTCCTAGAGAGGTTGGCATCACCTTTCTGTTGGGGTTTCTGTCCCTTAGCCTTTGGGCAAATCCCTACCCGCAAGGCAGCGGGGGCACAACTTTTAACTGGCGGTGCTTTCTCGCCACGTCACTAGGTTGTTATCGAGCACTGGTAGTTTTTCTTGAGTGTAGTACCGCCACGAACTACCCTCCCACACTCGGACAGCGTAGTCGCCTTGGTTCGGGGGATTCCGGTAATGCCATCATTATCGCGAGTCGGCATATCAGCAGACCGTTCCCCTATCCACCACCTTGCGGATCCGCCCAGTAGCTGAGCTTCGCCCTGGGTTTTCATGAAATTATTGTTGCTAATTTTCCTATATAATCTTTGATTGTCAAACCATCTTGTGTTTCAACCCTGTGCCTAATCGTTTGATGGAAACACATCTTTAGATGTTGTACTAGTATATGTTTTTAACACATTTGTGATATGACAGAAACCCTAGGTTTAATTTAAATGGGAGAAAGACAGCATCAAATGTGTGTGAGACGATTGTATGCAGGCTTGAGAATATAAAACACGTTGTTAGGGCAACAAATAAACAAAGTGTAGTATTCCACGTCACAATGGTGGACACGGCCCCGAATATATGAGATGCGACAAATGAAAAATAGGCTTTCAAAGTCGTGATATTATTAGAAGTACGAAAAATCAAGTCTCTCGAGAACTGGTAAGCAGAACTCTTCTAATTGATCAGAATATTTCAAAGTTAGTTTCCAGTATAGGCTGGGGTTATTGGTAAAAGATAGAGAGGTGAATACCTGACGAGAGTTAATGTTCTAATGTGTTATTAATGTTGAATTGTAATTATTATTTGTTTGATTTAAATTAATTGTTAGATTTCGTTAAATAGACTTCGTATTTTCCGAACGGACGTATGCCAGGATAGGTCCGCAGATGGGGAGGAAATATTAATGAGTTGATGAAAAATAGATAGTCGCATATAGAGGTTTTACTCGAAAGCGAGGTCCAGTCGCGTTCGCGGACTTATTTTCAGAAAGGTTGTGAAGGACATAAAATATCAATTAGTCGAGGACATTCTGGGATCACTTGGGAATTTACTCGAACGGCAATAGAGAACACAATAATAGAATAGCGAGAACATCACGTGAACAGCACTCGACCATGGGAACAGCTCAAAAGACACCAGAAGCTAGCACTAAGCTTATGTACATTACTTCATGAAAAAGCCGTACGGTATACTTAAATGTTTCAAACAAACATTAATAACGTGATTCATGAGCTCTAAATATTCTGTAAATTTGATATAATAAATGTTAAATTTGATTTTTGAAAAGAGAAAAGGCTGATAATTCCAAGTGGTTGTCATCAATTTTATAAACAGTTTGTTCTGCAGAATTTCCAAATCTTGATTTTGTCTGGAATTACACGTACACATGCAGCAGGTACGACTAGAAATGTTGTACGTCGAACCCATAATTGCATTGTAAAGCGAATTTGGCTTAAGAATATTTCCATATTGAAAGAATTTGTAAGCATAGCAGGGCAACGAAGTAATTTCGATAGAAATAATTCTACTGTTGATATCAGTAGAGAGTAGGAAGTCATCATACAGAAGCTTAATAAATGAAGATATAAAATAATAAAATATTAATCGCGTTAGAAATAACGTTACAAATTGCTGTCCACGTGAAGCAATGAAATCAAATATAAAATATTTGAATAAGAATAAGTTATGTTAGAAACGGCTGGAGCAGAATAAGCTGGAAATCTGGAGCAGAATAAGCAAAATAATTAATTCGAGGAATTCAGTTATATTGCACGCATAACGTGGTGAAACCAGGAAAATCTCTCAATTCACTTTAAACACGAAAATTCACTCGCGAATTTAGCACTGGTGAGGTTGACCTGAACTATACCCGACCGAGGCGTCCCTGCTGAGCGTCACCGACCAGCCCTGAGGAAGACCACGATAAGAAGGTCGACACGTCGGCAATACAGCCTTCGACGCGGCGTCACCCGGACAGCCAAGATCATTCACAAGACTCCGGCCGCGGAAGCCTACGACTTCATTTAATATTGCGTACAATTTGGGAAATTTACAAAAATTATTTACAATATTTTCTCAAAAACGGCTCCATTTTTTTCCTTTTAACTCTTGGTAGGAATTGTGCTAAATGCACAGATAAGATGATATAAACCCCATTCCACTCTATTCTTTTTTTAATTACAAAAAATTATTGTTTTACTTGTTTCTCACGTCGTTAATATTTACATTAGCTGCAATTTGTTCAAATTATTATGTTTAAGAGAACATGTGCTTTAAATAATATCAAATAAATATTCTCGAAAATTCAACAGTTTTCTGTGAAAACAAGTTCTAAATTTCGCATTTTCAGACACTCTCAAACGCCATTTTCTCAAAACCCACTGCAAATTTTTTCTCCAAACTTTTCGAAAGGATAGTGTTAATTGTACTATTTAATACGACGTTAAGTTCATTTTGTTGAACTTTTTTTTCGAAACTAAAAAATTATTTGTGAAAAAGTGCTTCAAATTTCGAATTTACTGTAGCGCTTATGTGCCATTTTCTTAAAAACCGCTCGAAATTTTTCAAAGAAAATGGCCATTTAGGGTGAGGTTTTACTGTTCTATAATATTCTTAAAATAATATTTCCGTTATACTATAAGAAAACCTAAAAATTAAGAAAATTTAAAAAAAATGTGCTTTGGGCAACGATAGATGGCAGCAGGCCAGAGTTGGAATAACTAGCCAGGACCAAAGGAAATACGGAAAATTAGGATAAAGACGGGATATTTAAAGTGAAATACTTGTTTAAAATACCGAATTGCACCCCGCCAGGGTGCAGATAGAACGATGGCCACCTAATACCGGGCCATGCGACCGCAGCGCGCTGCTTCTTCTTATCAGTATTTTTGGGTTTGGCACGAACTACGTACGAGCGCTCTGTCAAAATAAATAAAAAGAAAGAAAGAGATTTGGGGCTGATGACAGTAGAAGAGGGGGAATTATTCTACGTGTGCGTTTGTATGAATACGTTTGATTTTGTGCTAGTAATTCATTTTGCAATTTAGTAATAGGTCGATACCCGTAATAGGTTTTAATTTGATTTTTGCTTTAAATTTATTGTAGATTGTGCCTGGATCGGACCTAAAAGCTGTTCTAAGCGTTGCATCCGTTTTTTGAGTGCCCCCTTGCGAGGCAGGAAGAGCACACCGCGGTGCCGAGTAGTAAGTGTTTCGTGATTTGTGCGGCGCTCGTCCGCCTCGGCGTTTCTTGACTTCTTGAATACAACTGCATTTCAGCAGACCTTGCCCGCAGTTGCGCGCGGCCTCTGTTGTGTGTGTTGCGATTTTTGTGATTGCAGGCGAGGCAACAGCGAAGCGCAACAGGGCTGCAGTTTGCAGAAGAAAGTGAAACTTAGGAAACATAATTTTGATGTATAATAAAAGGACAAGCTGATTATAGATTGACAAAGTTTCTATTACTTTTTGAGGATATTTCGCGTACAGATTGTAATTGTTATTGAGGTCTAAGGAATCGTACGTCAGTTGATAGTTTTTTGCGGCCGTTGTCAGATTGCTTTGAGAAGTATTGTAAATAGTTTTGGAATATTGGGGATGTATAATTTGAGAAAATGTTACTTATTTCTTTTGTGGTCGTTTCAAAGGGGTATTTTTGAAACTTTGGGAGCTTCTTGATTTGCAGTACATTGCTGTATACTGTGCCTAGTTTGGGTCGAAAGGCGACTCCAATGAATCAGTTTTCTGATTTTTGTAATTTTAGGGGGGGATTGTTGTAGTTGCCCATGCTTGGCAGTCATAAGGTCCTACTGTGCATATGCACGATGTACGAAGTTTTTAGTCCTATTGCGGATATAGTTTGTTCTTAGGAGCGGGGCTCATCTTGCGATCCCATGTTTCTTGATATGTTTTTACAATGCTCCACCCATTAATTTTTCGTCAAGAGTGACTAATATATTTATTTGTAATGTGAGCTCATCATGGTATTATGAAGTCATTTATTTCGATCGGGAGGGTCTTTTCTTTCCAATTTCACGTGAATACGATAGCTTGGCTTTTTTTCAGATTTAATGTGACGTTGTTTAAAGAACTTCAATGATAAAGTAAATTTGCGGCAATTTGCAGATGCCTGATGGCATGTGGAAGTTGACCAGCTTCAGATTTAGTAGGCCCACATCATCGGCGTGTAAGTATTCACTGACAAGCGGGGAAGTAAACAGGTCGTGAATGAATAAGGTGAAGAGAGGGGAAGGGTGCACGACTTCCATTTGAATCTCGTGCACCGTTGAGGAGAAACAAAAATGCTAAAGATAAGAGAGTAATAGAGACAGAAAATTCTGTCTTAATTGATGGCCCTGGGCCATGGCCCAGGTAGAGATTATATATTAGTGAAATCAATCACATCGTGTATGCAACTGGATATCTGGTATCTCAGATAATTTTGAGACAGCCAAGAACACCGACGGCCGACAGCAAAACAGAGTAAACAGCCTTGTACCATTCTGGACGAAAATAATTATGACACGAATAGCGACACTTGGCGTGAAATATCACTCAGCCGAGATCTGTGCACTGTGCAACCTGATTCGAATTTATTACTTAGTCGAGTCCACAAGCCCGAAATTCTATTCGGCAACAGGCGCCCCCAAACTACCTATTGCAAATATTTTATTCCTGGAGTTCAGGGCGCAACAGATTGTTCTTCTGTAGGTATCGGTAAATTTTGTTAGCTATGGCTACAGTTATACCATTGTACTATACTAACAGAAATGTGATTGGCTGGTAGTTTTTGGCAAGGAATTGTTTGAATTGCAAATAAGTGGTGCCACACATCAGAATGGAATGCAGATAAATCCGCATCAAAACCTAAATGCGCGAATTGAGAGGAGGAGCATCCTGCAAACTTTAAAGGCCTCACCCCGTACCTAAATGCAGTAGAATCCCGCCAAAAAGACTCCAGAAAATGCAAGAAGCTAAGGATTTTCGCGTCGCAACTTCCGTGTTCTCGGGATTTCCAATGCAAAACGTGAGAAAATTTCCGTATTTCAAACCTCTGCACTTCCAGTCGCCACGTTCCCCCGGAAGATGCAACACACCCTACTGGGCGCCCCTCTCGCGCCACCGGCATCGCTAACAACCGCACTAGCCGCTCTCTCAGCAAGGCGAGCTAATCAACTTAATAAAAGGAATTAACCTTCAGAAAGTTATATCACTATTAGAATATAAGTCTATCAATATACTAAAAGGACCAGGCGACATCCTCAGTAAAGGTTTGAAGGTAGTGTACGCCGTCGCTTCTCTATTTTAAATGCATCCTCCGCCAAACGGCTCTACCACATCGCGCCTTGCAAAGCAGAGGAGCTCTAGGTAACGGGCAGAGGAGGCGGGACCGCACATGCGGTTCGGCGCGGCGTGGACGAACTCGTTCTGAGTTCTATCTCGCGTCGGAGGTTCGGCATCATGTCCTTGTCGTGTGATTGATAGCCAGTTGAATTTTCACCACTGACGGATGTTTCAATGGGAAGAAATGAATCTTCAAGAGGACCATCGTTTTCAAGGATATTAGATGGTTCGGATAGTTCGATCAAAGACCATACTCCCCATTTTTCTATGGGTCTGCAAAATGTTCTAATGTGTTCTCAACTGAGTAAGTAACGGAGTTATCCGGCAAGCTTCTTTGAATCTAGAGTAGATCTCATATCTGGGTTCTGCTCTCTCCATTTATTGAAAACTTTAATTTCTGAGCCGCCATTTTTCGTTTTTCAGTAGGTAACTGATTTTCTAAAAATTGATTTCGGAACTTTATCACTTCATTCATTCAATCAATCATTTCATTCACACGGAGCCAGTGCTACCATTATTACTAACTGTTAATAAATATGATGATTATTACATTTTTTATAAGTATTATATTTATTTCTATTAAATAAATAATTATTTTTGAGGTACATTCCGGGGCATAAAAATTCTATGAATCAAACGCTGATAGTATTTACCACACTAACTAACATCGTCATAACAATCACACTTAGAAATAATTCAGCTTACAACAAAATTAAGTAACATACATCTGATATATCTTTCATTATTATTATTATTATTATTATTATTATTATTATTATTATTATTATTATTATTGTCAAATCAATATCATCAACCAACATGTATATCAATAAATTTTAACTGTTCAAAATAACAAAAATTTACAAAAGTTCCGTAGTCTAATTATGATTAGTAATCTGAAAAACAAAACAAAATGTAAGTTCCTTTACATACAAATCTCAGTGATGCCATTAAACAATTCAGTAATTACCATAAAATACGCATTTGCTGTTACAGTCCAACACAATATCCATGTATATACGTGCAATGATCTAGTTAAATATAAAACATGTGAATATAAACGGAAATTCTGTCTTTTCGGCGGTAAATTTTCTACAACTCACATGTGCGATGTAATCACACGGATTCAGCTAGAAAGTTCATTAAATACTTACAACTGGTAATTATCGTTTAACATTTTATCGTCGGCTCCTCATCGACGGCACGAAATGTCTGCGAACAGAACACGTACACGTGTAGCGACTTGTTTCTCAAATTAATATTCTATGATCAATCTGGCCCAACTCAAAGCTTTTGCTAATTGGAACTTTTTTTAAATTTTAGGGGTACTTATATAAAGTACACACTACATTTTCACCACTCTTTAAAATGTAGTATTACTTTCAAGTTATTAAAAATTTGATTTTTCTAGTAACTAAATTTTATTCTATGCGAAACTTGACTCAAATATTTTTCTTTAGAACTTTTTGTCACGATAGAGCACAAAACCTTTAATGCAACTAGTGAATTTTCAAAAATTGAAAAGACGTATTTTTGAGGAAGGCGGAGGCATGTGGGAGATCAAAGTGGTAAACCAGGTTCTCCCCTCCGGCCCCCGGCGATGCAAGTGCGCCCAGGCTGCGCAGTGTGGAGCGAGGTTTCCCGCGTGGCCGAGGGGAATCCCCGCTGCTCGCCGCCTCGTGGACGCACGTGCGCCTGCGAGGGGCCTCTGCCCGCCCGCCCGACCAGGCGGTCGCCCGGAGTACACTACACGCTACAGAGAACGCTTTCGGCAATGTTGCTCATGAAAACGTGCTGGTACGTGAGAAACGCACAGCTCAGAGTTTAATTAAACTCTTTAACATACAGCATTCATTCTACTGAGAAATTACTAGATTCTATTTTGTTACCCAGCACTATTATTTTATGACAATAAATAAACGCGTACCGAGCACAATTAAAATCGCCTCCTATATTGTTCCAATGGTATGCATACCGTTTGCGGCTCTTACACCCAACCACCCTTGATAAGTAATGTCTCTAACGAAACACAGTTTTACGGAAACATGGCGAAAGACACTCTGACTTCAAAAGTATGAAGGATTCCTTTTTTAAAAAAACATCTAAATAGTCATGTCAAATGCAGCACGCAGCACTTGTCAGGATTTTGGAATCTATACAGTTAAACGAAACGCCACCGATCACGTGAAGGTTGCGGCCAGGCTGTAGAAATTGCAAGCGTCGCACTTCACGCACGCACGTAAGTAGGAACGGGGCCTCAAACTCTGCGTGGGCGGCCCGCCTCGCGGAGGTGCTGCAGCGGTTGCCCCATCGCCTGGCAGCATTACCTCGCCTCGCCAGCCTTGAAGCGGTAGCGGTTGCGGTAAACACGACGGAAGGCGAAGTTGCCCTCGAGGCAGCTTACTTAGCACCACATAGTCCTCTCACAGATGACGATTTCGACACTGCGTTCTTCCTAGCACCTCGCACGGTCTTGGCGGGCGGCCTGAACGACAAGTGGGAGGAATAGGGTTGTAACACAACAAACAGTAACGGAAAATTACTCACACGTTTCCTGCTGTCACACAATACTGTGACACTCATCCCGCCCTCCAGACCGACCAGCTTCCCCACCGACCCTCGCCTCCGACTCAAAATCCTCGATGTGGCACTCACCACTCCCAAACCCATCCCCTTGTCCCTTTCCGATCACATCTCCAACGCCTTCGTAGTTGGTAGCAGTCGCGCCTTCTGCGGCCCTTGGGTTCCACAATTGAATGACTGGGATGAATTTCGCAATCAACGCAGCACTACACACACAAACACAAATGGATTCGCCAGAATCTATAGACGCGAGCATACACACACTCACGATACATATACAAACAGCCCACAGAGAGGCAACGCCGGTTTCCCGGCGCCCGCCCGAAGACGGCTCACACACACCTCCCCCGGATGTCGAAGGGCTTCTGCGCGAGAAACGCAAAGATAGGCGACTTTGGCAGCAGTTTAGGTGCCCTGCGCTTAGAACACAGCTGCGGGAATGCTAAAACCCCTGAAAACGGCGCTCGCATACCATCTCACAGCAGAGTTGGAAAAGCGGTTGAGAGAGGTCGATTCTGATCATTCTCGAAACGGCCTTTTCAAACTCCAAAAATCGCTCAGGTCAGTACCTAAAACCGCAACCGCCATACGTGGCTACGACACTGCGGAAGGTAAATAAACATACCTCTTCTCAGATCAAGCCAAGGCAGAATTCTTTGCCGACATGCTTGAAGAGAGGTTTGTTAACAACACTACACAAGCGGTAGATGGGGAGGAAACGGACGACAGCGCCAACACACACATTGTACAGTCGAGGAAGTTTCGACTACAATTAAATGCTTGCGTAGTCCTAGGCGCCGGAACCTGACCCAACAGGTCCTCCCGTTCTTAAGGAGGCTCTACCGGTCATAAGCACGGTGCTTAAGCGAATCTACAACAGCTGCTTTACATTGCGGTACTTTCCGGGAAATTGTAAATTTGCAAAGTATGTCCATGCTTTCGAAACCCCGAAAGAATCTCACGATCGCTGCGAGCCTCAGGCCAATCAGTCACCCTCCTGTTATGAGAAAGGAATTCGAGAGGCTTCTACTCGCGCGATTTCTGCCAACTGCTCTCTCGCAGAACCTCATCCGAGATGAACAGTTTGCCTTCAGACCGGCCCATTCCGCATCACTACAAGCACTTTGCATGGCTCAGCATATTTTTGCTGATCTGTTACTCACACAGAATGTACCATACCTGTCACATATCTCGACATGGTGCAAGCCTTTGACAAAGTGCCGCACAATACACTCATCATAAAACTTCGGCTTCTGCGTCTTGTCGAAACACGACGTGACCGAAATGGTTAAGTCTTTCCTCACAAACCGCGCATTCGTGGTCAATGTGGGTAAAGTGAGATCCTCAAAGCGGAGGATTGCGGCCAGAGTCCCTCAGGGCTCCGTCCTCTCTTCGCCACAGTTCTCCCTGTATGTCAACGATATCCCACATATACCACGAATACGGCTTTTCCTTTACGCTGATGACATAGACGTCTTAGCAAGAGGAATAAACCTAGACCGCAAATTGAAAATACTTCAAAAAAAGACGAACCTGGTTCTGAAGTGGGTGGAACAAAACTACTTGACGTTCTCAGCGGAAAAGTCGCCGACAATCTGTTACACCCGCAGCAAACACTAATACACTAAACGTTTTACAAAACCAAAACCAATTACACTTGCCACGCAAAAACTGACATGGGTGTCTAAGGCAACTTATTTAAGCGTCACATGTGGTCGAAGGATGCGCTGGCATTTACGTCAGGCGAATTCGATCAAAATTACAGCAAAGAGTTCGACTCTTACAACCTCTTTTGAGGGAACCTATACTCTCTTTGGAACTTCGCTTGACACTATAAAACGTGTTGCCGGCCTTTGGCCACCCACACCGCGGCAACATGTTGGACCACAATACAAAAAGTACAAGGACACACTTGAGCTAGTACCGAACAAAATTCTACAGCTCATAGCACGCTCTCCGTTACGGAAACGGTTGGAAGTCCTGAGGAAGGGACTTTAACCGAGTCCTTCACTCAATGCTCGAGACGGCTTTCATTTAACGAAGCCTATCAAGCCTTTCAAATCAACGAAGCCCCGGCAACGCTAAACAATTAGCTATATACATCCTCACTATATTGTAACGGTACAAGCTCCTGCGTTGGAAAATTTCCATGAAAAAAAAAATAGCAGACGCCCGCGACGCAGCTGCGAGGAAGGGGGGTCG